TCATTTTTATAAAGCAAAAACTGTTTCATCTTTAAATATAAAAGTCCTCCCTAACAAAAGTGATCAGTTTTTATAGACCTCAAATTTGTCTCATAAGTATAAATGTTAAGACATGATGTTTTGGCAGGGAATCTTGTCCTAAAACAAATCAAACTCAATTGCAAATTTTTATTATTTTAGATCCCACACATTATTATTATTTTTAGGAAAAACCTAAAAAAGTAGACAAATTAATGTCTGACTCAATGCTACCACATGAAGGATAGTGCTCAAAAATGAAATGTCAGATCTAAAACCATTTGACCACTTTATGAGCAACTGATTACTTCTTGCATTTTTGAAAATTTCAATAAATATTGTAACATATTGATTAAATTACTGTTGCAACCATTTTGGATCAATGAATTTTTTCAATTTTTCTGCTCTCCACTAAGACCTGACTCTCATTACAAAACAATTAAAAAATTTAAGTTTATTCAACGTATTTTAGGATAATATAATTAAGATTCTTAATTCTGTATAGATATTAACTAAAAATGATTTAAATTTTTGATAATTCAGTTCTTCACATTTGATCATATTGAAATACTGTGTCACCATAAGCATTTGTGTGTTTTAAATCAAGGTTGTGCATACAAGGGTTTTGGGGTTTTAACCCTTTCCATAGTAAATGTTCAAACAGAAAAATATTAATATAAAGTTAAAATCAAAAATATTCACTGGATATAATCACTTATTTTGGAAACCACTAAAAAGCTGTTTTAGGCAAATAAACAAATTCATTCTGCCCTTCCAATCTGATGTTCACAAGAGGTCAAAACAGATATCAATTATTTTTAAATAAAAGATCTGTGAATTAAAATTGTCTCCTAAGTGTTCTTGATTTCTGGTGAACATCAGATTGGAAGGACAGAATAAATTTGTTTATTTGCCTATAAACCCTTTTTAGTGGTTTCCAAAATAAGAAAAATATTACTATGTTAATAAAACAGTATATTATATATAATATATTTATTTTATATCTTCAGTTTCTCCTTAGTCCACTGTATTCTGTTACTTTTTACACTTTTTTATTATAACTAGCAGTTACTTATTTTGATGTCATTATACCATGGGGCTGAATCTTTAAATTAACTACAAACTTCCAGTCCAGACTGGAAGTTTGTATGTAGTTAACAGGGCTTCTGGTGCCTAAGCATTCCATATCTGGTTTTGATTTTCATCACTGTAATTCTGTTCTCAAGAATAAGGAAGGACAGATAGAAGGCTTGGGAATATATAATTTGAAAACTGCATCCCAAAAATTAATAAACTAGGTTATGAAAATAAAATTATTTTTTTAAAACATCCTTATAAAAATTCTGTGCATGGGCCTACATTGAGCCTTTCTCTTGGTAGATTAAATATTGGCAAAAGAAAGCAGAACTAGAATTGAGTTTTCTTATAAAAAAACAAATCTTCTATTTTAGACAGTTATGATTAAAACTGAAATCTTCATGAAGTTAAGCATCAGATTGTTTAATTTATCTTTATCATTGAATGTAATGTAATGTTGATTATGAATATTCAACTTTGTATTCATCTTTGTTAGATGTTTTCATATATTAATTTCAAGAAAAGAAATTTTGGATAAAAACGGACTATATTGAATTAATTCTTCCAATGTCTACAAATTATGCTTGAATTTTGAATGTCATTTTCTCAGATGATTCCAAATTTTGTTGTATGCAAAATTCTATTAGTTTTCTGTTCTGTGATTTCTTTGGAATAAATGTCTCTACTTCTACCATTATTTATTTCTTTATAAACTTGTACGTACAATATAATTTCAGTTCATGTCCAGTTTGATTGTCATATAAATGAAGTTTATATAGAGAAAACATTTTGCACCTCAATCCTCATGAAATTTTCTTAACTGTGCAAATCTTAGTTTTTTCCTTATATTATGAATAACAAAAGATTGTGCTTTGATAAATTATACCTTTTAATCATTTTAACTTCTTCACAAACAAAGCAATTAGAAACAGTGAGTAATTTTAATAAAAAAAATAATTTTGTTTATTTGAAAGTTCTATTATCTTTATGGGTCACTCCCTATGTTGACATATTCAGATCACCAAAACAAATTCTTTTATGCATAAAATCATGAAAGGAGAATTAATCAAGTAATATTAAGAAAATAAAATAGGAATTGCTTGTTTTTGTAATTATATGATATATAAAAAAATTATTGAGTTTTTTAAGAAATAAAAAAAAGCCATTAATAGGGCCTGTTGAAAAAAAAACTACTGTACTGTATACTGTATAAGAGAGAATGATTATACTTACCAGCATAAAGGTAAATAAGAGTTGTTAGAGACAACAAAAGTCAAATTTAAAATTTATTTTGTTCTTTACATAACTTAAATTTAAATCTTAAAAGTTCATAAACTTTAGCAGAGACCATATTAAGGGGTCATATTTGGTTCACAAGCTATGGTTTTAACAGAATTCTTTGCCACTTTGAAATATGATAATAGAAAAAGATAAGTTTATTTTATTAGTTGATGAGATTAAGATGTCAAGATAAATTATAGAAGCCATGCAAAATTTATTGAGTAGAAGCACTTTTAAACCTATTACAGTTTATTTCATAGTTCATTTTTTATTGACTAAATCTACAACAGGTTTTTCAAGTTTTGTAATCAGAACATTTTGATTTAATTAACTTGATTCAGTTCATTTTCATTGCTTTCTGTAACCATCTTTTGGAATTCAAGGGAATGTTTTTGTAAAATGCATAAAAATAAATATTGTGTTTAAGTAGATGGATTTAGAATGTAATGACCAAACAAATCATTTAACTGGTACTCATAATCCTTTGGAATTGATGAGCTAACATTCAGTTTAATAACTATTATTATCAATAATCAAACAAAGATTTTATATCTAATTATCATCAATATATATTTAAAAAAATTCTCCATCTGTAAATTTTATCCATTTTTTTAAAATATTTTCAAAGTTTTTAGCCTTTTTCTTCCTTTTAATCATTTATCCAGATCAGTTAATATAAAGTGCTTCATCCATTTCAGTTGTCTGTTTATTTTGGTTTATCTTCAGCTGAATTCATTATTTCATTTCTGACGTCCTCATTTCTCATATAGTTTACATGGGATGTAAATATTTTCCATTATATATCATCTTTAAATGTTGACAATGCTATATTATCTGTCTCTATATTTTTTTCCTGAATTCATATCCATATAGCAAATCAAAGTTTATTAAGCTATCTTATTTTCTTAGCTTTAAGAATTATATCACAGGAATTTAAAGCATTATATAGTTGTTGCTTTTATTCTATTTATTTTCAATATCATAATTTGATCCAAGTTAAATAACATATTATAAATGTTATTTAACTTGTAAGAATAACTGAAACAGCTGTAAAAAATTTTAGAAAGATTTTTAAGATTCCAATATTTAAACAGTGCGACTACAGTCATTTGTAATGTTTTAAACTTGTACACTTAGTTTTAATTTGTTTTACAAATTAAAACTAATTCTCAATTAATAATTTACTTTAAAACTAAATGAATTTATATATGTATATATATTTTCTTATTTTATTGAATCATTCAAAAAAGCAAATGAATTTATCAGTTGTTTTATTTGAAAATTCACATTTATTAAATAATATTACTTTTAAAATTTATTTATTGCTTTTAATAAGTTAGGGAAATTAGGTTAATAATAATATTTGTGTTATTTAAATCATTTTTATTTAATATCTTTACTGATGGTCGTATATTACAGATAAAAACAATTTTATACAAAATTTTTAAAATTCATACGAACTTTAACCTTTATACTTTGTAAATTCAGTAAATTATTAGGGAAAAAAATATTCATAAATTTTTTTAGTAACGTTTAATAAATTTCATGCAATATATTTTGAATAAACCATAAATACACACACATACAGTTTATTTATAAAATCTATTTATTAGAAGTTACAGTTCTTTTCTATACTATATTGTGTACAGTACGTTTGTGTATTGACCACACAAACGTATGTGTATGTATATACTGTATGTGTGTTTATATAGCTCCATTCTAATTATGTGTTTTAATATATTAATTATGTTTAAAAAAGTAGTTGTCATAATGAAATGTAAATGTATACACATATCAGAGACTTATAGATTGTGAATTACACATTGTATTCCTACAAGTAGTCAAAAATATAAATATCAGTCATAGAAAATTTGTTACATGATAATGCATTGAACATACAGTATGTTGCTTAGCTAAAGTGTAAACAAAATTAATAATAATATGAAAAATTCTGGTGAAGTAAAATTATAGCAGAGAAGAAAATATCGACAGAACTATAATACGCCTCGTCAAAAAGTAGAGGTACAGTTCCCCATTTCTCTTCTTTACCCATCTCTGCGAGACCCCCACTTCGGACAATGAGTTCTTTCCAACGGTTGCTAAGCAAGGTCGCACGTCAAAACGCCTGCGCTGTACGGCGTCAGTTAAGAACGGAAACGCAGCGTTCGTAGTCGTTCAACACGATTTCGAAAGTTTTGTGTTTTTCATACTATATACGTCAAAATAATTATTTTATTAAGTGACTAAAACGATTATTTTTAAAGAAAAGTTGCAACTATTTGCTCCAAAAGGAAAAAAAATTCATTTAGTGTGTTTTTTTTAATTTTTTTTATTTATTTATTTAATTTTTTCGTTTTTTGCCCGGTGGGGGAGCACGTGTCGCTTTTTTTATTTTTATGTGCCGTTATATTTTTTTCAATTAAATTTTGCTGGAGTTTGTTTTTTAATACAAGAAATGTACTTATCACGGTGAGAAGATCATTTGTGTTTATCTTTTGTTGATGAGAAGATGGTTTGGTCCGAAGAAAGTGTAAGGATCGGATGAAGCCAATGTTCGGTCCGGGTGTTCCTGGTGGTCATCCTGGTGACCCTTTCTACTCATCACCTTTCTCATCTTATTTCAGGAGACACACACCTTATTTTGGACAGCCTGATTATAGGATATACGAAATGAACAAGAGGTTACAACAGCGAACTGAGGTAAGTTTCTTACCTACTTCTGTTTTATACTTTTAACTGAAACAAAAATACGAAAAATCTAATGAAAAAATGTCGCAATATTGAAACATTTTCTATCAAATTTCATCTTAAACTAATTACAAAAACAATCCTTTCCATAAAAATTTTAATTGACAATGTAAATAACTGATACTTAGTCATTTTTCTCTTTAAAAAAAAATCTTATTTGTCAATTTCAGTTTGTTTATTTTCCTTTTAAATTTCAATTTTAGAAAGTGTATATTTTATTTATAAGCATTTTTCTGGCAAATAATATATTAATAATCAAAATTATTTTATACTTTTCCATATGTACAGTTCTAACATGATAAAAAATACAAAAGATATGTAATTATATCAGTTTTATAAGGTATATTACATAGATTTATCATAATTTAGTTCTGTATACGAAAATGAATATAATTAGAATTTGTGCTGCGAAAGAATAAGGTATTTATTTATTGTGATTTTTACAAAAAATTATCTTATTTTTTGGTAAACTTTTCCTTGTCCATTGTTAAAGATTTGAAATATTTTATAGAATTATAATTTTTTACAGTTTAGTTAAAAATGAGTTTTTGTGGATTTTAAATAATATATGATTTTCTTTCTTTTATAATTGACAAATGTCATTCTTTGATATTACCAGTAGATATAGATTTTTTTGTTTAATTTTGAAGTAAAAAACATTAATTTTTAAGAATTTGATGAGATATAGATTTTTTTGTTTAATTTTGATATAAAAAACATTAATTTTTAAGAATTTGATGATTAATAAATATTAAATAATAATAAAATGCTGAAAAATGAGATAAATAAATCTGTTTTTTTACATAAGAAAAATTTTTAGTTATTTTTTTTTATCATCACTTACATTAATTAATAAATTTTATATAATTATTACAGATTTTTGTTTTTTATTTTGTAATAGTTTGAATCTAAATTTCAGTACAGAAAATGCTTTTAATCAATATTTTATTTTTGAATAGTTAATTATTATTGATGTTGCAACTGTTGAAATGTTACTGTCTAAAAAAATCAGTAGTATTTAAAATAGATAAAATGTAAGAAATTGTTGGACAGTGAATTAAAGTTTCGTATTTGAATTAAATATTTTCTTTTACTTCCAATAATTAAATAAATTTCAAGATTATTCAATAACAGTAATAATATAAATATTATTATTATTGTTATTGTTGTTCTTATTAAATATAATATCTCTCTTAAAATATTTTTACATTGACAGAATATGTAAATGTTTTTAAAAATGTTATAATTATCTTACAAGTTAATTTAAAATATGTGAAAAAGTTTTAAACATATAATTTAATCAAATTAAAAAATTGTTGATATTTATTCTTTTTAATGTGTTTTTAAAAATTTGAAAATAATAATTTAATTAAAATGATTCAATAACAATATATTATATTGTTTTAATTTTAGTATTTTAATTATTATTAACTCTGTAAATATTCATCATTATCTTTAAAAAAAATATTTTTTAATTTTTAAAGTGGTAAATATTTAACTCTTTTCATTTAGACATGGGTTAATAATAGAATTTATTCTAATGTTTTAATATTAGATTAACTTTTACTTTATTATTTTGATATAAAAATATAATTTAATAACATTTTTTTTCAAACTTAAAATTTCTTATGTATAACAATGATGTAACAGTATACAACCATATACTGGATAAAAATAAAAATTTATAACTTAATTATTAACTTGTTAATTTTATCAATTAAAATTAAAAACAAAAGTAAATATTTAATAATTTTAGGATAGTGATAGTCTGTGGTGGGATGCTTTTGCAACAGAATTTTTTGAAGATGATGCTACTCTTACTTTAACATTCTGTTTAGAAGATGGACCTAAAAGATATAGTAAATAAATTTTATATATGTATTCAATTTAAATTTTAATTCTAAATAATAAAATTTATTTATCACTATTCAACAGCAATTGGTAGGACTCTCATTCCACGTTATTTTAGAAGTATATTTGAAGGTGGTGTTACTGATCTCTCATTTAATCTAAAGCATCCTAAAGAATCATTTCATAATACAACTATTACATTAGATTGTGATCAATGTACAATGATTACTTCACATGGAAAACCACTTTATAATAAGGTATTTTATTTCAATAAATTATGTTGAAATGTATTATAAATAATTTTTGTAGTTTTCGGATACTTTAAAATAATTTTTAAAAAACAAGTGAAAAGTTTGAGATGTGATTTTTTTTATTTTAAATCAATTAATTTGAATATTTGTTAAAAAATGATAAATTATTATATTTATTTATTTATTTATTAATAATGTAAAAAAATATTTAAAATAATTTCAAGCAAGTCTTTGTTTGTTAAAGGTGAACATATTATATCTTAAACTTCCTTAGATTCTGTATTCGCTCTTTTCTAACCCATCATGCCACGCTTTAACGTGGAGCTATAATTGATTGGGTTACCATGGTGAGGAGGCAGTATTGATTCTGTCTCCATGGCAACGCTGTCTTGTGTTTTTGGAGAAAAGAATTTGGTTGGGATTGAAAGGCCGTTGCTCATTGATTATTTTGACAGAAAGTTAACTTCATGGCTACATGTGTTAACAAAGTTTCCTACTCTTTTCATCTTTTCCTTCCTTTTACTTACTTTTGTATAAGATTATAAAGATAAATTTTTTATAATATGTAATTTTTTTATTTAATTAAATTAATAATTTACAAATATTAACTATGTTATCTTATATTATCTTAATTAATTAATTTTAAAACTATTTATCATTAGTTAATTAAAACTAAATTTTCAAATTTTCTTGTTTAGTTTGAATTTTCTCTCTTTTTAGAGAAGTTCAGTTAAAATTAAAGTTCAGTTAAAATTAGAACATAATATCATATCTTGGAATATATTGATTATTTTTTATTATTTAATAAAAAAAATTCTCTTAAGAACATTAATTAGCCTACATTATTTTGAAAATTTTATATTTATTAAAATGTAGAACTTAATTATTAATGTTGTTTAATATTTTAAAAAAGTTAATTCCATTCATAGGGAATACTTGGTGGTCCCTATCCAAGTGATCCACTAAAAGAACAATTTGTTAAAGACAGTGCTGTTGTGGTAAGCCTTTATATTATTACATACAGATAATTAATCTATATTTTTATTTTTTAACACAAAAACTTTTTTACAGACANTATTTTAATTATTATTAACTCTGTAAATATTCATCATTATCTTTAAAAAAAATATTTTTTAATTTTTAAAGTGGTAAATATTTAACTCTTTTCATTTAGACATGGGTTAATAATAGAATTTATTCTAATGTTTTAATATAGATTAACTTTTACTTTATTATTTTGATATAAAAATATAATTTAATAACATTTTTTTTCAAACTTAAAATTTCTTATGTATAACAATGATGTAACAGTATACAACCATATACTGGATAAAAATAAAAATTTATAACTTAATTATTAACTTGTTAATTTTATCAATTAAAATTAAAAACAAAAGTAAATATTTAATAATTTTAGGATAGTGATAGTCTGTGGTGGGATGCTTTTGCAACAGAATTTTTTGAAGATGATGCTACTCTTACTTTAACATTCTGTTTAGAAGATGGACCTAAAAGATATAGTAAATAAATTTTATATATGTATTCAATTTAAATTTTAATTCTAAATAATAAAATTTATTTATCACTATTCAACAGCAATTGGTAGGACTCTCATTCCACGTTATTTTAGAAGTATATTTGAAGGTGGTGTTACTGATCTCTCATTTAATCTAAAGCATCCTAAAGAATCATTTCATAATACAACTATTACATTAGATTGTGATCAATGTACAATGATTACTTCACATGGAAAACCACTTTATAATAAGGTATTTTATTTCAATAAATTATGTTGAAATGTATTATAAATAATTTTTGTAGTTTTCGGATACTTTAAAATAATTTTTAAAAAACAAGTGAAAAGTTTGAGATGTGATTTTTTTTATTTTAAATCAATTAATTTGAATATTTGTTAAAAAATGATAAATTATTATATTTATTTATTTATTTATTAATAATGTAAAAAAATATTTAAAATAATTTCAAGCAAGTCTTTGTTTGTTAAAGGTGAACATATTATATCTTAAACTTCCTTAGATTCTGTATTCGCTCTTTTCTAACCCATCATGCCACGCTTTAACGTGGAGCTATAATTGATTGGGTTACCATGGTGAGGAGGCAGTATTGATTCTGTCTCCATGGCAACGCTGTCTTGTGTTTTTGGAGAAAAGAATTTGGTTGGGATTGAAAGGCCGTTGCTCATTGATTATTTTGACAGAAAGTTAACTTCATGGCTACATGTGTTAACAAAGTTTCCTACTCTTTTCATCTTTTCCTTCCTTTTACTTACTTTTGTATAAGATTATAAAGATAAATTTTTTATAATATGTAATTTTTTTATTTAATTAAATTAATAATTTACAAATATTAACTATGTTATCTTATATTATCTTAATTAATTAATTTTAAAACTATTTATCATTAGTTAATTAAAACTAAATTTTCAAATTTTCTTGTTTAGTTTGAATTTTCTCTCTAAAAAGTTCAGTTAAAATTAGAACATAATATCATATCTTGGAATATATTGATTATTTTTTATTATTTAATAAAAAAAATTCTCTTAAGAACATTAATTAGCCTACATTATTTTGAAAATTTTATATTTATTAAAATGTAGAACTTAATTATTAATGTTGTTTAATATTTTAAAAAAGTTAATTCCATTCATAGGGAATACTTGGTGGTCCCTATCCAAGTGATCCACTAAAAGAACAATTTGTTAAAGACAGTGCTGTTGTGGTAAGCCTTTATATTATTACATACAGATAATTAATCTATATTTTTATTTTTTAACACAAAAACTTTTTTACAGACAAATATTTACATGTACTAATTTTGAAAAAGTTTTAAATAATTGTCATCATTATCATCATTATTAATTGATTTAAATAGCAAAATAATTTATCATTATTTTATTAAACTACCACTATAAAGCATTCATAATACTTTTTATTTTCAAACATAATGTGACAAAATATTTAGTTTAACTATGATTTATTTTCTTAATTATATTTATTAATTTAGGGAGAAAATGGCTAAATTATTGTTATTATGATGATCAATAATGGTAAAAACAAAATATTAAAGATTGAATCAAGAAATGTATTTATTTTCAGCAGTTTTAATCTTATTTACATTATTTATCAATCATGATGTTAATCTGACAAATCATTCTCAATTATTTGCTGTGTTAACTGATTTTCCTTATAAATAACATTTATAAAAAAAACATAATATTTATTCTATGAATAAAGTATTTAATTATGATAGTTTAATAATCTAGATAATTTAATTTGTTACTATTCATCTTGTTCACTTTGTAATAAAATTTAATTCCATATTTATATAAGCAATTTATGTGTTACTAAAATAATACTATGAATTTTTGAATTGTTTACTGGCAGTTTAGAACCTTGAATGGACAACAATTAGTTTAAAAATTAAATAGTGAATAGCCCTGTTTTTTTCTTCATATTTATTAAATATTACTATTTTTGTAGTAAGCCTATTTGTTATTTATTTCCATTTTTTGTAATGTTAATATATTTTTCTTATCTAGTGCAGTTAAATAATTTATATTTCATAAGAAAAAGAAAGTATTATTATATATTTATTATCGTTACTTAATTTTAATATAATATATAATTTTTGATACAGTATTGATTTAAAGTTATTTTTGGTATCAAGAGAAAAAAATGAATTTTAGTTCAGTTTTGATATTTTTCTGTTTAAGCTGTTTATATATATTGCATAATTAAGGTAAGATTTAGATATTATATATTTTGAATAAATGATGAGAAAAAATATTATATATTTTGATTTTCTATAAATTTTTTAAAAGAAAATGTAAGTTTTTCCTATTTTGTTTTGTTTTTTTAAATAAGTAATATTAGAAGCAAATTTTTTTGTGATAGTGAAATATGTGCAGCTTTAATTACTTTTTAAGTAAAAAATCTAAATTTACTTAGTTTTT